ATTTAATAGATTAAAATTAATTTATTAAAAAATATTTTCAAATATTATAGTTAATTATTTTAAAAAATATAAATTAATAAAATAAGAAATAAAATTAGTAACAAATTAATAGTCTTAACAAAGACTGATGAGCAATGGCAAAAGCATACTTTAGCCCTTACCTTATTAAATTTGAAGAGTTTACCTCATTACCTTATACTATCACATTTTTAACCTCTCACCTTGATTTATAAGTTTTAATTCCTCACCTTATATTATGATACTTTTAGCCTTATCTATTAAAATTAAATATATAACTCTCACTTTGTAACATTTTGTTAGTTCTGTTAGTTGATTGTTAACTCTAATAATTGACTATTAGTTGACTGTTAGTTTACAAAAATTTTCTTTCAGCTAACAAAGTTAATAAAACTAATTTTATAAGATTTCATTAATTCTGTTAACTAATTATTAGTTCACTGTTAATTGATAAAAATCTACGTTTAACTAACAGTTCAACTAATAAAGTTAATAGTTAATATAAAATAAAAGTTATTTTTTTTTATTTTAATAGATGAGAAATTAAAATTTATAAATTTAGTAAAATGATAGACTAAATGTGTTATAGTATAAAATGAGGGATTAAAACCTTTAAACTTCATCAGATAATAGACCAGTAAGTTTTGTCAAAGCGCAATTAACCATAAGCTGAGCCTAGCAAATACTTTTCCGCAAGAGTTGTTTTCAAACCAGGCCCAAAAGTCCAAAATGCTGTTCTCCACTTGCATATTTTCCAACTTGTTCCCAACATATACTTTTCAGCCTTTTTGATTTTAGGTACAATACAGTGATACCACTTAAAGTCTCTTATTCTATATTTCTTCCGCAGATTGCATCAATTTAGTAAAATCTACTGTATATTCTGCGGTATCTGCATTTTATATTGTCAAACTTTCTGATTGAAAAAGCCCAAGTTCTAGGTGAGCTGGTATAATTTCTCAATCCCTTAAAATTTTTCTTAACCATATGCACGAAAACTTGGATGTGCAGTTTCAATTTTCAAAATTTATTAAAAAATTATTTTAAAAATTAATTTTTAAATTTTTTAAA